ATTGAATTGAATTGAACTGAATCGAATCGAGCAGTACTTTTTAAACTAATGTATCTGAACTGAGAACCGACGGGTTCGGATCGATTCTCGATTGTAGACCAAGACCCGAATATCCCTATTTTTTTTAATCTTAAACAAGTTAAATTATTTTAGTTTTTTCTAAATAAATTTGCTAACTAATTAATTTAACTCAAATCTAAAATATGATTTTCCTATTTCTAATTTCCAATGCAAGTCCAATTAATTAAATCGGCCTAAATTTTATCCAAATCTTTTATTCTACTATAGTGTCATTTCTATCTGCAGAAATCGAATTGGAAGCCTTTATTTATTATTGTGAGCTTGATATCTTCATCTTTCTGTGATTTTAACTATTAAATCTATGAAAACTCAACAAAAAGAGGGTCAAAGGATATCACGGGATTAGACTACATTATTTTGTAAGAGTTAAAATTAAAAATGTCATTAGTTGAATTAATGTAGCATTATTTTAAATATCAAAAAAAATAATTATTGTACATAACCTCAAAAACTGAATGGAATTGAACCGAACGAAATCGAATCCGAACGGTTTCATAATTAAATTTGGACCCGACGATTCCATTTACTAAATCTCCGAAAATTCGGATAGAATCGGACCATATCTAGCCCTGTAATTCCGTCGGTGGGGCCTTAATTAATAAATGCTTGAACCAACCAATCCGTACCCAGCATGCTATTACAAACAAAATAGAACATGATGTTTTAAAAGACAAAAATTTCAAGACTGGTGATGAATGGTAGATTATTAACAATTTCTGATTTTGTGATTGAATTGCACACTAGATAAAAAGAACACTTTGAAGCTAGTTTTTTCGTGAAATACAATTACCTTCGAAAATGCTATTTTTAACCTTTAAATTCCAAAATCCACATTACCCTGATTGATTTCTAATGATAATTTTCATACATTACGGTTACACTCTTAACGCAGAAATTTTATTTTGGGAAATTGAAAGTAAAAATGATTATTCAACCTGGAAATACAAGAAAAAAAAATTCAAGAAAATAATCACAAGCATTTGAAAAATATCAATGATTTCATAATTTTATTTTCTTTTACCTCAAATAGGAGACTGACCAACAACGAGACTAACGTTTCAAAGCTCATCTCAGTTGATGTTAATACTCACAAACTTCTAATCTGAAGCTAACGAAATGGAAGAATTGAAATTATCATTTCCATTATCTTCTTCTCTTCAAACACAGAATTTAGCTTCTTTTTCATTTATTAATATTATCCAGAACTATTCGACCATTCTTACAGAACATGTTACAAAAAGTCCACACAAAATATGCATCCATATAGATTTACGCATTTACTTTGCAGTCTTAGGGGGAGGACCCCTCAAGGTTACAACCTTGATAAGTATTGTTGAGTCCATCTTGCAAACTTTCACACTAGTTATTTTGGAGTCTTATGGGGTAAACTCGTCAAGGTAACGATCCATGATAAGTGATGCAGATTCAAGGAATCCTGATTCACTTGTTCCCGGGAGCACTGCTTCTTGTGCTTCTTGAACAATCTTCTCGATTACAGATTCTTCCCTCAATGTTTCCCGGAACATAATGCTTCCTATTGCAAAGGGAGTGAGCCCTCTCTCTGCGCCTTTCTTCAGAAGCATGGTGGAAAGGCGAAACACACGTGCACACTTGTGTGGAATGTTCCAGCCGTATAACTTCAGAAGTTGAATATCTTTCTCAGTATCCAGGGACTTTATGTAAGCAATGGTATCAGGAGAAAAGGGCTGCTGAGCTTGAGGCCAGTAGAGCCAGTCGAATGTGCAATCTTCAAACTGCGATAAGGGGGATGACAAAAATATAAGAAAGGGAAAAGGCCAGGGGATATACAATCCTAGGATGGTAGCTAAGCATTGATCAATCTTCATTGCTAGTTAGAAGCACAATCCTAGGAGTATTTCAAAACCCGATTACTAGTATTTCTGAATTCCATTTCATAGTACCTAGATATCACAGCAGTTCCAGAAAATTCATAGACAAAATAACAAAATTGAAAAGTAATATATCCAATATTACACAAAAAATCAAAACAGTGGTGCTGGCATAAGGGCATCTAAAAAGGAGACACCAAAATGCACCAAATTTTGGTGCAAAAGCTATCAAATGTGGAACCAAAGTTTGCACCATGTTGGTGCAAAGTCAAATTTACCCTTTTTTTCCATTTGCCAAACTAATTGATGGAGGATATTTGTGTTATATATTTTTTAATACAATAATTTTTTATTCTTATAATAATATTATTATTATTCGCATTGAAAATAAATTTTAATAATGTAAAAAAAATAATTTATGAATTAATTAAAATTGCAACACAGCAAAAAAAAAAAAACTTCAAATATAACAAACACGATTATTTAACGTAATTATTTATGCAGTAATTTATGCATTTGTAAAATAAATTAAGATATAATTTTTCAAATAAATAAATTATTAAGAAGAAAAAGATTAAGTACTGTTCATTTGGTGTAAATTTTGGTGTAATTGTTGGAGATGATTCTTACTTTTGTACAAGATTTGGTGTAAAATGGTGCAAAACTTAACTCAAATTTTGATGCAGGGTTGGAGATGGCCTAAAAGTATAAAAGCAGTCAATTAAAGCATCTTCAGAAACAAACCAATATTCTGGCACGACAAATACTGAATATGGACAAGGAAAAGAAGACTTACATTCTCCGGCAAACAGTAACCATGATCAATTGGAATAAGCACAATTCTACCTTCTTCGCCCTCTTTGCGAACCAAAATGTTGCCAGCATGCCTGTCTGCATTTGCCAACCTTATGTCAAGGACAGATATCTTGTGAACTTCTTCAACAGGAAAGGCACGAGGACCCATGTCCTCGCAACTACCCAAGTTCTTCACGAACATCTGCAATGACCCAATCTTATCAGATGCATACTGATAACCATCAGGATAGTTAAATCCTCTGTGCCGACATTTAACCATTACTGTGGGAGGAACCCCGGCAAAGCCTTTCTCCTCACTATGAAATGAACGTGGTCCTCCCTTTGGATGATCCAAAATATATGCTGCAACTTCCCTTAGGGCACCTTCCCCTACTCGGGTTCCCTTCTTTAGCCCTTCACCGTTTGTGGACAAGGGTAGCCCTCGAGGATTATTTACAGCCATGGGCTCCTCATCAATAGGCTTGAAAACGGAAATATAGTCTTGACCGGACGAATCCGGCATAAAATAAGCACCCCCAGATCCCTCAGATGATCTAATAGGTTGCTTGCCTCTCTTGAGCCCATCAATCGAGGCACCAATTAGTTGCTTAATCACTGGCGACAATGAAATCTTGGAAACAGTCAGTGGTTCTAAGACAAAATCTTCTCGCAAAGATTTTGCAGGCACAATTTGAAGTGTCTCATTATGCATTCCCCACCAAGAATCTACATCTACTGCATCAGCTACCTTCTCCACATCTGATGCAACAATTGAAATTTCAAAATCTTTTTCAAGAGGTTTAGTCCTAACTTTGGCCGATTTACGGACCAACAAGTGAATCACTGCACCACTATTGTTACATATATCGTCTATGATCCTCTGATCTTCAAGCTCCTCGCCATCACAGAACAACTCCTGATCCTTGAGATCGAAAAAACCATTCTCCCTCTTAGCAATTTGCTGCTTCACATATCTCACATTCTGTTTTCTCTCAACACGAAATTCAAACTTCTTACCACACACAGTCCGGACAGTGATGGCTTGGAGATCAGACAGCCGAAGAATCAAATGCAGCACATTCCCATCAGTGACCCCATACTCCCGCATGCAAGAATTGTTCCGAGACAATTCTTTCCCATCAAAGACAAGTTTCTGTTTTTTTACAAAGAACCCCTTGCGTGATTGAATTCTAAGCTTCACAGAAGCAATTGAATCTGACTCTAGAACACGCATCGGGATTACAGAACCACCAACAGTTAGGTAAATTAAGATAGAGTCGTTCAACTGGGGACCATGTTTAGCCGAATAACAACCCGGGAAATTCCAATGATCTTCAGAAACAGGACCAAGAGCAACACTAGCCATAGACACTGAAGCCTTAGACTACCAAAACTCGTCCTCCTATCCAACTGACAAGATCTAATTCTATTTTGATTTCAAGAATCCATCACAATATTACCAAGATTCAACATTCACATAATCAATCAATAAACTATCCCAAAGAACATAAACTGATCACTGAATTCCACAATTTTCCAAGAACGAAAAACCATAGGTTTTCACTGTTACTGGCAGGAAGTTAAACAAGCCCTAAATCCAAGAAAGTGCAGAAATGCCCTAAAAAACACAAGGATTTTGGAAACGAAACCTAGTATCCAAAAACCATAAAATCACAAACAATCAAGCACGAAAGATCAGGGCTTTGGTTGAATCTGAATTAAGGCCTAAAGCATTCAACAAAACCCCCAATATTAAACAGAAAAATCACATGATCAAGAAATATTTTTCCTGCAAATTTGAGTGCCCAAGGAAATGTGGGTTTTAAGCAAGAAATCCACTTTGAAAATATTCCAAAAAGAGGGTAGATTAAAAGAAAATTTTGAATTTCTTACCGGAGGGAGGGAATCAGAGAATGCCCAAAAATCAATAAAATGTTGATTTTACGGCGAAATCAATCCAAGAAAATGCGAATTCAAACTACCCAAAATCCATTTTCTCCTCCTTACTTCTCATCATCAGGTCGAGTCTGAAACTTTGGTCCCAAATTTTTTTTATTTTTGTTCTCTGTGACTCAGTTTTTAGTGTGTGAGCTAGTGTACATGGAATGTTTATTAGCTTCCTATATAGAATTGGGGGAAGAGGTCCCACCGTTAAACTTTACCGGAGATGCGGGAGGTTTTTGACGCGTTAACTTTTCTAGAACTTTACACCAGTAAATTATTTCCAAAGAAAAATAATAAATTAGTAAATTCATAATAAAATATAAACGGCCCTTTTCAGTATTTTTACTAATAAAATGGCGTTTTCAAATTTAGCCCCGTTAAAATTATAATTTATTGTTTTCTCTTTTTTTATTAACTATACATTCTTTAATAAAATAATATTACATGTAATATCAATTTTTTTTTCCTTTTTAATCAATTATTTTTTGACAAAATATTATTTCAACTATTAAAATTTCAAATAATGGGGGCAAAACAAAAACATAATTTCTAAGAGCAATATGTGTAGCAAAGAACTTTAAAAACATTAAACTTTATTTTCATGATCTTTATAATTACGAATGATCTTACTGCGTTCAATCCTTTAACACGTGACTAACCTAATATAGCGATTAAAAAAATAATATAGCCAATCACAAATCTATCGAGGATAAAGTTTAATTTGTATCACATATCCAACATTAATCCCCCTTATGGCACCCACGATTTGAGATTATAATTTTCGAAGTAGTATTTTTTGAAAAATGTGTGATTGATAAGAAAATAGAGAAAATGTATTATAATTTTGATGGGGGCAAATAGGGACTAATTCTTATGTTACTTGTTTAATCAAGAAATCTCTCTTCTTTTTAAGTGCAAAATCTTTTTGGAGATTGATGTGTTCCACAGAGTTCGTTAAACATTTAGCAGAGTTTGATACACATTCTTTAAAATTTGTTTTTTCACAAACTAATTTTTAACTATACATTTTTTAAAATATATATATATATATATAATTTTATATGTATATTCATAATTTTCCTTATTTTTTAACCGTATATTTTTATAAAATCTACATCAAACATATTAATTAACATACCCTTATCTACAAGGAAGATGCTACATGTACTGTACTACATGAGGTACAAAATGGGTTACTACATGGCCAAGTGGCGGCCATGTATTGGAGGGTCGGCTGTGGGGCCTCGTAGTAACCCATTTTGTACAATTTGTAGTGCACATAGCATTTTCCTATCTACAAAGTGGACTGTATAGAGGAATTGCACTACCCACATTTTTTTGTCAGTTATCAGCCTTAATGCCAGAACGAGTTCAACATAATGAACAAATTTATAGTGCAATGCTGATTAATTATCAGGGAGAATTTTTATTAATAGGTGAGAATGAGATTTGATATCAAAACATTTACTTTTCTAACACTATGTTGATGATCTTAGCTCCTTGTTGGGCATATTAAAATACGATTTTTAATAAATTTTTATAAACATTTACTTTTCTAACACTATGTTGATGATCTTAGCTCCTTGCTGGGCATATTAAAAGACGATTTTTAATAAATTTTTATAAGAATTAATAAAATGTGTGATTAAAAGGTTGTGGGTCGTTATTAAAATTAATTGTTAATTTTGACTTGAAATTTTAATCTGATTTTGATATATACCGAACAAAAGTCTAGTAAGAGTATAAGCGTTTTAAACGAAATGTTCCCAAGGCTCCGAGCACTAGGACATTAGATGGATCTAGGTGTTGGAATGGTTACATGCATGTAGTTCCACATTTTCAGTAGGAATGGTTACATTTTCTCCCACATGTTTCTTGGACAGAGATAAAGAATTGGCTGTAAATTTTACAGCAAAATCTCCAAAAGATTTGCACAATTTAGTGTGAAAATCCTTGAAGCTCTCTCTTGCAACATGAAAGTTATCGAAAGAACATAGGTTTTAGGGACTTCTTGGATCACTAGTTATTTGAATATATGATGATCTGGTCTTTTACATAGACACAGCATGTTGGCTAAGCTTAAAAGGTTTGCTTATAAGTAGTTAAGTAAGATTTTAAATAAATAAAGTTCTTAATAGTCAAAATTGGGATAAGTAATTTGTTTTGAATGTAAGAGTTATTTCCAGAAAAAAAAAAAGTAATTTTGTTAAAATTATGAAAACAATATAATCAAATTATGCAAGGATACAAAAGATATTTTAAAAGTAATTTTACTTTTACTTTTAAGCTTAGGCAACCATACTATTAGTTTGCTTTGAAATAAAGGAAGTTCAATTGTAGAGCGAGACACGATGAAAAATGAGTAAAATTCATTTAAGTTATGCTACATATACAGTTAGTTTGACAACTTTGTCAAATCAAATCAAGGACATGATATATGTCACATCATCATCTGTACAGTTAGTTTGACAACTTTGTTAACAGATCAAATTAAAGGTATGATGCATGCCACTTCATCGTCTATCAATAGAGGTATACAAAATCATCAGTACAAGTAGTAGCTTAATGGAATCCTTTTTATAAAATTTAGAGTACATACTGACAATTTTTGTATGATTTTGAGTTAAATAAGAAGTTTAACTTAAGAATTAGCACATAATCAACTATCTTAATATGGACCCTTATTGGTTGAAACTCGTTATGTTTTCCCGTCACATTGAAATTTCTGTGGATACACAATGCAACATGCGAATGATTTTTTGGCATTCTCTTACTGATATATATGAATTATGTTACTTGTACATAATGATTTCCACACCTTCACATGAAGGAGGACCCACTTCAGATAAAATATAATATATCCGAAGTGTATCTCCCTCCATGTGAGGATATTGACACCATTATATACAATAAATTATGTACATGTAGACAAACCCGATATATATTTGGCAAAACTCATATCATAAGAAATTGATAAAATAATCCTCGCAAAGAATCTTTTCGTTCTTCGCCATCTCGTGGATAAGCTTTGCAACCATGTGTCCTCATCTTTTAGCCAAATTGAAATTTTATACCAATCTATCTATAAACATTTCAAAACTCAATCATTGATTGGAAATTTTTCTTGTTCTTTCTGATTAAGCGCCTGTTTGGAGCTCATTTTCATCTCATTTGTAGATATTTTTTTACCGTTGCACAGTAAACAACTATTTCTTTATTTAAGATTGACACAAGTCTGTCAAAAAGTATCCATCTCTTTTAAACTTTACCAATTTTACCCATCACTCCAACTACCCATTTTTTAAAAAATGCACCGTGATTTCTTTGCCATTACAGGGGTATAATTGGAAAACAAGCAAAATTCTTGACGGACTTTTGTCAAGTCGGTGTGAGAATCTTGAATAAAGAAAGAATTGTTTACTGTGCAACGGTGAAAAAATGTCTACAAATGAGTTGAAAATGAGCTCCAACGGGCGCTGAGTTTTGAAACGAGACTTTTCCTCTTTTTCCTTGTCTTTTAGCCAAATTGAATTTATTGAAAACCCATATCCATTTCTAGACTAAATTGTGAACCCTCATCAAAATAGGGTGTACCTATAGTTGGATAATTATCCAACTCACGATCAACTTCTTACAACAAACGGCATTCAACCTAGGCCACTGTTTGACAATTATTATTTTGGTAAAATAGAAAATTGAATAATAATTTTTTTCGGAGAATGCGCGGTAAAAAAGTAAGGAAAAATTTTGAATTTACGTGCGAAATATTTTATTGTGTGAATTCGTGTGATTGAAAATGAGTATGTAAAAAAAGAATTTTAAAACAATGATTGTCAAATATTGTCACTTAAAAATATTAAGGTAGCCCACTTTGTAGGCATCCCCCTTGTTAGGTGAAAGAAACAAGAAAATAAATTTATGAAAGCATTCATATTATTCAATTTCTTGATTATCTTCTTGAATTTTGTACTTGTAATTATAGGGGTGAAATTATCATTTTTATATTTAGACCATGTTCGGTGGAGATTAAAATAAAATTTTTAGTAGATTTTGATTTAAAAAAATGAAATTATGGTTGAAAAGTTGTAAATCTCATAAATGTGTAGTTAAAATTAGTTGTTGACTTTGACTTATATTAAAATTTGAATTTGAATTTGAATTTGAATTTTTATCAAACAGGGGCTTAATTTCCCAAATTAGAATTTTTCGGGTTAAGAGTGTAATGTTTGAAAATTATCAGAGGCAATATTATAATTTTAGAAATCATTTATGGTAATGTAGATCTTGGAATTTAAGGTAAAAAATAAAAACAGAATTTCCCGAAGGTAAAATTGTATTTCATGTATAATATAATTTAGAAGAGACTCAGAAATTAATAATGAAAACTAATATTAGCTCAAAAATGTTCTCTTTATCTCGCTT